AGAAGAGTATTTATACCCAAAGAAAACGACATCGTTTAATCCCCTGGTGATTTGCGTTTTGGTCCCCAATTGTTTAATTACACACACATCCCTCAATCTTCTTATCGTGTGCAATTTGGTCCTAACTTTTATTTACAACACCGCATGTTTAATTTTGTGTTTATTTCAATTTAGTCACTTGTTTAGTCTCTTTAATTAATCATTATTTAGTCCCAATAATTTTACGCATGTTACAGTTTGGCCACCATAGCTTAATTGTTTTTGTTTCTTACAATTTCAACATGTAGTTTTAAGTACTTTTATTTTAGTCCTTAGGCTTAGTTTTTTGGTTTATGCGTGATTATACATTTGGCATGTAATTTTCTAATTTTTATTTGAATCCTTATTTATCTTTGGGTTTATTAGGATTTTGGCACTTGAAATATGCGAACTTTATATTTTAGGATCTTTGTTTGTTTAAGTTACTGTGTTTTTTGTATTCTAATGTTTTATATATGTATGTATATATTTTATTTTTGTCCATTGTTCTAGATACGAGCATATATTTATTTAGCTTGAGGTCTAAATATATGTGTATGTAGTAAACGTATTTTATATTGTTTCAAAGAGATAATCGTACATGTATGTTGGATTATTATTATTTTTTATGCTTGCTATATGTAAATATGTAACTTGTTGCATATAGATCTATTTTGAAATTAAATTACATGAAACCCTAATAATCATCTCTTGACTCGAACCGAAATAAATTGACTAAGGTTAATATTCGTTCATTTTAATATTGTCGTAAAGTGACTGTCTTAACGTATAAGAATGTTACTTTCGATAATTTTAAAATGAAAGTCTATCCCATTTAGTAACATGAATTAAATCAAATCCATTTTAAAATTCGTGGATTGAGAAAAAGATCATGTTTTTTTAATTAAATTCATCAAGAAAAGACTGTTAGATCGAATCTAAGGTCTTGTCTCGAGGTATTTAAATAATTGAACAACCTTATTCTCATTAAATATTGGTAAAATAAATAATTAATTATACTTGCTTGATATATACTTTTAATTTGCTTTATTTTTGCTCGTGTTTTCCAATGGGTTTTCAAAATAATAACATTCGAATCGATATTGAGAATAGTAATATCTTTTCATTTCAATTGGAGTAATAAATGATTGCTTTAAGGCATGAGAGGTCATTTATTCTCGATTGGAAATAATTCGATAATACCGTTTTCTCTTGAATTAATATTGATTTTTAAGATGGAATAGTGATATCTCTTCATTTCGATTAGAGCAATAAATGACTATTTTGAGGTATGAGAGATCATTTATTCTCGATTGGAAATCATTAGATATTATTATTTTCACTCGAATCGATATTGAATTTTAAGATGAGATAGTAATATCTCTCCATTTCGATTGGAGTAATAAATGATTGTTTTAAGGCATGAAAGGTCATTTGTTCTCGATCATAAATAACTAAATATTATCATTTTATCTCTTAAAATTATTTTGAGTGTTGTTATTTTGAATTAATAATGAAATTTAGAATAGAATTTTAATATTTCTTTATTTAGATTGGAGTAAGAATCGATTGCTTTAAGGTATGAGAGGTCGATTACTCTCGATAGGAAATACTTATATATTATCATGTTTCGTCCAAAAATTCAAAGAATATTATCTGTAGGGGATCTTAAATTAAATTAGACTCAAATTCGTAAACTTTATTGCAAAGACAACTAATTAATCGACTAGGTACTGATTTAAGGCGCTGTGGGGGTGCTAATCATTCCCCACACGTAACTGACTCCCGAACTCAAATTTTGGTAAAGCAGACCGCAAATTTGTTGTTTTAATTAAAATAATTTTTTTAAATGACACATATTTTTTTGGGTGCCCAATCACACCCTAATCAAATATTGGTGGCGACTCCTTGAACCACATTTTATCGTTAACAGATCATCAAAAATTATTTCAAAACAAGACCCCCTTTTTCCCTTTTTAAAAAAATTGTTTCGACAAAGGTGAAAGACGCATTATAGGCATGACGTCTCCCCTTGATCACATGGACTATAGTGCGACTCCCCCTTGGTCACATAGATCACCAGACGACTCACCGGTTCCCTATAACATTCGTCCTATTTGAAGAAATAATCCCCAACTACATTATTTTATTAAATAAAAAATACAACTGCATTATTTTAAAATTTTTGCTTAAACTATACATAAAAATTTTAATAATTCATTTTTTTTCTAAAGATAATGACAATTTATTTCAAATATAAGTTTTTTTAAATAAAATAAAATCAATAAAATGTTTTCAACATTAAAAGATAAGCAAATATTTATTTACTTATCATATTCAATATTTTTTCTTAAAATTTTATTAAGGATAAATTAATATGGTTATTAAACACGATTGAAAATTAAAATCTATTTTTTAATATTTCATGTTAATTTTAGTTTTATTGAAATTTGGTACACCTACAAAGTTTTTTTAATTAAGACATAAGTTATTAAGTAATTTTATTGTAAAATAGATATATCTTTTAATTCTTAAATAAATATTTTAAAAGAGATAATATTTCCTTATGATATTTTTATTTTTATTATTTTATTTTTATCATTTTGTTACGTTTTAATTCTTGACATTATAAAATATTAACAAATAGACAAAAATATAATGAATTTAAATATAAAATATCTCCATTAAATTTATTAAGGAAAAGGAATAAAATCAAGCTTTTGCCGATGATATAATCAACATATGTATATTTTAATATTTAATATCATTAGACCCACATCACCTACCCATCCAACAAAACATGCTTGGCTACATTAGATTTGAACGAATATAACTACAGATTTCATCCTTTTTATTTATTTAATTTAACAAAAAAATTTCCTCAAAAAACAAAAAATATAATATTTTATACGCTCGATATTATTAGAAATAATAAATTATATAGTAAGACATGGCATTAATATATAATTATTATGCCTTCACGAACATTTTCTGCAAATCATGTCCTTACGGTCAATTTTTCGTCTATTAAAATTTCTGAAATTCCTAGAAATTTTTTGGAATTCCAAATTCACGTTATCTATCTACAATAAAAAATTCTAATAGTTATGTTTATTTGTTCTTTCAATTTAAAAATAATTTATGTAATTTATGATATAATAATTGTATCTATTTATCATATTAATCTAAAAATAATCTATATAATTTATTAGAATTAAATTTATTATCTAATAATTATATTTATTTTCCTGTCAACTTAGAGATAATTCAGTGAAATTGAAGCAAAAATGATAGAGCTTGTAATGTACTCTAGATTTTATTCTAAGTTTGATCATCATGTGACGATTGATTTATATATGTTTTATTTGTATTTACCATCGTAATTGTGATGATAATTGTCGGGTAGCTTTAAAAGGGTAAACTACATATTAATCCACTCAATTTTCATTACATTTATGTTTTGAACATTCCATTTTAAAGTTTTCATATTTTTATCACTCAGTTTCAAATTTTCAATTTTTAGATCATCTAATTGTCAGCTGTGAAAAAAAATATAAAATGTTACAATTTGAGCAATTTTATTTATGAAATTAGCCTAATATTTTTATTATTCTTCTTCAACATAATTTTAATATCATTCAATCATCGTTTGTGATGTAACTACCAATGTTTTTAAAACTGGACCGGACCTTAAACCGGTGAAGGTACTGATTCACTGGTTCAACCGGGTTGAACCGAATTTTATAAAATAATATTTTTTTAATTTTTTTACATAATATTCAAAGCAATATTAATATATACAACACTACAGAAAAATGTCTAAAGAGCATAGAAGAGCAAAAATAGGAGAACAAAACAATCTCACATGGCTAAGAAACATAGAAGAGCATCCCAAAAGTCTAAAGAGTAAAAATAGGAGAACAAAACAATCACACATGGCTAAGAAACATAGAAGAGCATCCCAACTGACTTCAATAAATAATAGATGTAATTTAACTTTCAAAATCATGGAGTCTTTTGGTGAGCACAAAGCGCACTATTCTTTCGCATCAATCGAGCTTGAGTTTCAGGCTTCAATCGAGCTTCTAATTTTTTTTAGTTCGAGCCTTTTCGAGTTCAAGTTTTAATATTATTTTCGAATTCGAGTTGAGCTTGATAATTTTTAGCTTGCGAGTTTTTGAGTCGAGTTGAGCTTACTTTTAAAGTTTTTGAGTTCGAGTCGAGCTCAGCAATACTCGAGTTCGACTCGTATCGTTTAACAAATGATGTCGTTTGGTTTAATTTTTTTAAAAGAAAAAAACAGAACCGGTGGTTCACACTGGTTTTGTCGGTTTTCAGCCGATTCACACCGGTTTTAAAAGTTCTCAGTCGGTTCATTACAAAACTGGTTTTGGAAGTTAACCGGACCGGAGAGGGCACTGGTTCACGATTCAATCGGTTGAACCGGCCGATCCGGTCCGGTTTTGATAACCATGGCAACTACTAAAACATTCTCCTTCTCCCCTCTTTTTTTCAGTTTGATTTTCTTCAAAATATCCCCATAATCAACAAAACACAAATTAAATCTTTGATATTATCTTGGTTTGATATATAACCACCTTTGTCTAATTTATATGAATTTGAGATATATTGCTTTTTTTCTTTCTTTTTCCTCCTCTCCTTTGTTCAGATTTAGAAGAAAATACTTCACCATCAAGTGACATGAAATAAAAAAAATTCTAAAGTTTACTAATTAAATAAAAGATTAAAGTTAAATGACCAAAAGAAAAATACAATAAAATTGAGTAATCAAATACATTATTTACCAACAAAATTGTCTCACACACTTAATCACCAGCAGAAAACGACTCCACGCGCCACCTAGAAAGGCCCGCGCGAATGCTTAAATTTCACCAAAAACAAAACACAAAAAATAAAAATAAAAAAGAAATCAGGTTTCAGATCTGGTTTTCAGGCAGCAGTCCACCATTTTAGCTATAAATAGGCAACCCCTCCACCCTCTAATTTTGTGCCGCTTCTTCCTCTGCTTTTCTCTATCTCTGGGACTTGTCTTCTTTAGTTCTCTCTCCGTTTCCTCCTTCGTTGCTACGGTGTGGTTTAGTTCCTCCTATCATATTCATATGTCGTTTCTTAATTGATTCTGAATTCTAATCTTAACACTTATTTCCTTCCTTTTCAACTGTCTTCTTGGTGATTTAAAATTCACTTGAAGTTGTCAACTTTGATTTTTATATTTAAAAAAATTGAAGTTCTGTGTATCTTTTCACTGAGATCCGTGGGTAAATGTTAACATTTCTACTTCCCTTGGAGATTTTCTTTTGCGGTTTTCACTACTCTTATTTAAACCTCTCATTTTTAACTTGGAATTTTCAGAAAGCACTTTACAAGGAGTTGTACATATTGATTGAAATCTATTGGCAAGTATCAGCATTTCAACTAGACAAGTTTATTTTCATTCTGGGTTTTCGTTATTGCGATTTTTAAGTTCTGTTTTCAACTTGGGTTTCTGATCAACTTCAATCTGTTTCTATTTTTTTCCTTGCTGGCCTCTACAAAGAAGTACAAGTATCAACTGATTTTTAACTTGTGTTTTTGGAATTAATAAAGGATCTGTGATTTGTTAGTGAGATCTTATAGTTATTGTTAGTATTCGATCATATTTTTATTTTTATTTTTTTTCTGTTATGAAATCAATTCAATAGATCCAGTCTTTTGGGCTTTTGGAATTATAGATCTAGTGCTTTAATCATTGGTACTCAAGGAAGCATATTGGCTTTGGTTTCTGGGATAATGTGATGTTATCGTTAGAACTTTAGATCTGCATTTTGTTTGGTTATTTATGTAACGGTATCTATTAAATCCGATTCCTCAGAATCCTTAAAATTACTAGTTGGTTGGCTTAGGAATCTATTCAAGCGAGATCAAATAGTGAAAGATTGAGTTTGATTCAAAATTCGAGGCTTGAAGCTTGGGTCAAGCTTGATTCCCATCACGTTTAAAGTTTGAGCTGAATGTGAGATAAAAATTGAATTGCTTTAGCTAGCTCACTTGGGATCAGTTAAACTCATTTACTAGTAAAAATTAACTTCATTCTAATGTTTGACTTCAAGATAAAGTTTGATTATTAGTGCTTGAGCTTGAGTATGAATATGTTTTATTAGGCAATGTATGGATTTCTCTTTTAGCTCATTACTTCCTAACATTAACTCCTATAAGCATTTGGACTGTCCATGCTGAATTAAATCACTTGTTTTAGATTTGCTTCCAATCAGTTCAGTTCAGAAATATAGGCATGCTAAAGTTTCATTCTAGTTTGTTCTCAATGTATCTTATTGTATATAATAATGTTGAACTTTGTCTATTTCTTTTATTTTGTTTAGAAAATGGCCTCTCACATTGTTGGATATCCCCGCATGGGACCTAAGAGAGAGCTTAAATTTGCTTTGGAGTCTTTCTGGGACAAGAAGAGCAGCGCCGAAGATTTGCAAAAGGTTGCAGCTGATCTCAGGTCATCCATTTGGAAACAAATGTCTGGTGCTGGGATCAAGTACATCCCTAGCAACACTTTTTCTTATTATGATCAGGTGCTTGATGCAACGTCAATGCTCGGAGCTGTTCCACCTAGATATGAATGGAATGGTGGAGAGATTGGATTCGACACTTACTTCTCGATGGCCAGAGGGAATGCCTCTGTGCCTGCCATGGAAATGACCAAGTGGTTTGACACCAACTAGTAAGTTTCTATATCTTGATCATACTTATCTTACCTTTCTTGTTCATACGGATATATATACTACTAATGTTTTCAATATGTCGTTTCAGCCACTTCATTGTTCCAGAATTGGGACCTGATGTTAACTTCTCTTATGCATCTCACAAGGCTGTTGATGAATACAAGGAAGCTAAGGCGGTATGTTCTTTGGGTCTAATTTTTGCATATATTACAATGGTGTAGCCTTTTGTCTTTTATGTATATTTATGCTTTTAACTCACTTAGGAATTAGAGGTAAGGATATACCAGTGCATGCTAAGATTCTGTGAATATAGAGTTTGCCTAAAAATTTAGTCCAGTGAGATGTATACCTTTAATAACATAAATGATCACATGATGAAAATAGTCTGATTAATAAATGTATGAAGAACGTATTATGGCCTGAATTAAGGTAGCTTCTAGGCTCTGGATCTATCAGATAAAATTTTGTACCTTTCCTTTTCCTTATGCTAACTGGTTCAGCCGTCCAGGGAGGTTTCATTTTTGCCTAATTGTGTATGCGACTTATAAGCAATAGTTATAGTTCACTATACATTTAAGCATTCCAATTTTTGAGAATTCTCCGAGTGAGACTTGTAGTACTATTTAGACCCACTTGATTATGGTGCCCCACATTTATCAATGTTTACAATTATTCTTAGTCTTAAACCTGAATGTCCCGCATGCAGCTTGAAGTTGACACTGTCGCAGTCCTTATCGGCCCTGTCTCATACCTGTTGATGTCTAAACCAGCTAAGGGTGTTGAGAAGACCTTCTCTCTTCTCTCTCTCCTCCCAAAAATTCTCCCCATCTACAAGTAAGAGTTGGTTCTCTTTTTTCTTTTTCTTTCTAAATTATTTTAACTGCTTTAATATGTTAATACAAAATTGAATCTCTCTCCAGAGAAGTTATTGCTGAGCTTAAGGCTGCTGGTGCCTCATGGATTCAGTTTGATGAGCCGACCCTTGTCTTGGATCTTGACTCTCACCAATTGCAAGCTTTTACCGCTGCTTATGCTGAACTGGAATCCACTCTTTCTGGCTTGAATGTTCTGATTGAGACCTACTTTGCTGATCTCACTGCTGAAGCATACAATACCCTCATCGGATTGAAGGGTGTCACTGCTTATGGTTTGGATTTGGTTCGTGGAACCCAGACCATTGAGTTGGTTAAGAGCAATTTCCCCAAAGGCAAGTACCTCTTTGCTGGAGTTGTTGATGGAAGGAACATTTGGGCTAATGATCTTGCTTCTTCACTAAGCACCTTGCAGGCCCTTGAAGTTGTTGTGGGCAAAGGTATTCTCTATTGTCATTGCTTTTTATGGGTAGTAATTTTGTGCTGAATATTACATCACTATTTTGGTATTGTAGAGTACAGACTGATATCAGTCAATTAATTTCCTGATGTGCAGAAAACCTTGTGGTGTCCACCTCCTGCTCGCTTCTCCATACTGCTGTTGATCTGGTAAATGAAACTAAGCTGGACAATGAAATCAAATCCTGGTTTGCATTTGCCGCCCAGAAAGTTGTCGAAGTCAATGCACTTGCCAACGCATTGGCTGGTCAGAAGGATGAGGTATCACCATAAAATTGTGCCACTTATTTTTGCTAGTTTTCTAAGATCTTGGTGTCATCTAGGAATAGGGCTTTAGGCCTTTTGGATTGGGTCTTTTCGGTTTTAGTGTTTTCACGAGATTCAATTACCACCATGTCACATACTGGTTATTCATATTCTTTTAGGCCTTCTTCTCCGCCAACGCTTCAGCTCAGGCTTCAAGGAAGTCCTCCCCAAGGGTGACCAACGAGGCTGTTCAAAAGGCTGTAAGTGTTAGGATAAATGAAATTTTTAACTTTGCCTTTTAAGTTATTGCTCTGGCGTACTAATGTTCATTGAGTAAATCTTTCTTTCCTTACTGTGTTTGATTGTGATTGCGTTCCCAGGCTGCTGCTTTGAAGGGTTCTGACCACCGTCGTGCTACAAACGTTACTGCTAGACTCGATGCCCAGCAGAAAAAGCTTAAGCTACCAATCCTGCCCACCACAACCATTGGATCTTTCCCTCAAACCTTGGAACTCAGGAGAGTTCGCCGTGAATTCAAGGCTAACAAGTGAGTAGTTAATTGGGGAATTACCTTGTTTTCTTTCCTAAAAATTGACCATTCCTTTTAACTATGTCTCTTGTTCCCTTCAGGATCTCAGAGGACGATTATGTTAAAGCCATTAAGGAGGAAATTAAGAAGGTTGTTGATCTTCAAGAAGAGCTTGACATTGATGTCCTGGTTCATGGAGAGCCCGAGGTGAGAATTCCTTTTGGTGTTTTCCCTTTTGCAGTAAATGGGAGGTTCGTTTATGGTTAACGGCAAGCTTCCTAAGTATTACTTGAAATTGTGCAGAGAAATGATATGGTTGAGTACTTCGGTGAGCAATTATCTGGTTTTGCTTTCACTGTTAACGGGTGGGTGCAATCTTATGGATCTCGTTGTGTCAAGCCACCAATCATCTATGGTGATGTTAGCCGCCCCAACCCAATGACTGTTTCCTGGTCATTCACAGCCCAAAGCATGACTAAACGCCCGATGAAAGGAATGCTTACTGGACCCGTCACCATTCTCAACTGGTCCTTTGTGAGAAATGATCAGCCGAGGTATGAACGAGAAAGCTTATGAATAAAAAATGTTTATAGTTGTGCATTTCTCCGGCACATGTTTTCTTTGCAATATAGATAAGGTTTAACATTCGATGATTTCAGATTCAAGACTTGCTACCAGATCGCCTTGGCCATCAAGGACGAAGTCAAAGATCTCGAGAAGGCTGGCATCAATGTTATCCAAATCGATGAGGCTGCTTTGAGAGAAGGGTTGCCTCTAAGGAAGTCTGAGCATGCCTTCTACTTAAAATGGGCTGTCCACTCCTTTAGGATCACCAACTGTGGTGTTCAAGACACCACCCAGGTCTGTATATTGCCTCACTCTTTTCACTCGAATTTGTTTCTATGATCATGATTCTCATTCACCTGGTCGATAAAATCCGACAGATCCACACCCACATGTGCTACTCCAACTTCAATGATATCATCCACTCGATTATCGATATGGATGCTGATGTGATAACCATTGAGAACTCTCGTTCGGACGAGAAGCTTCTGTCGGTGTTCCGTGAAGGAGTGAAGTATGGTGCTGGAATTGGTCCGGGAGTGTATGACATCCACTCTCCCAGAATACCATCAACTGAAGAGATTGCTGACAGAATTAACAAGATGCTTGCGGTGCTGGAGACAAATATCTTGTGGGTTAATCCTGACTGTGGGCTCAAGACTCGCAAGTATGCGGAGGTGAAACCGGCCCTCGGCAACATGGTTGCTGCCGCCAAGCTCCTACGTACCCAACTCGCCGGTGCCAAGTGAGATCCTCAAGCCATAACCATACCAGAGAGAGAAGGGATTTTTCTTTTATTTTGTCATTTGAATAACCCTGGTTTCCTGCTCGAGTTTCTTTTTTTTGTTTTCTCTAAATATTATGTACGTTTTGGGAATATTATATATATTTGCCGTCTTCAATTTCTGAGTATCTTTAGGAATGTCAGCTTCTTTATCTATTTACATTTATTTTCACTTTTGCATTTTTCAATCAGAGAGATCAATTGTCCTAATAAGTTTCAAATAATAGGAAAATTTGAAAAGCTGTAGAATGATAGAAAGCAACAAGATTAGGTAAATTTGGAAATTCGACATTTGGAACTTCAATAATATTAAATACGTTTAATGTAATTTTTATAAAAAAAATGAAATTGGATGGATGGAACATTTAATGGTAAATTATACATTTAGTAATTGAATTTTACTCTCTTATTTTACTTATTATATTTTTTTTCAATTTACTCATTGAATTTTATAGATTGATTTTTTTTAATTAGCCGTTAAAATAATTAACGATGGTAATGTATGACAGCTTACATTAACAACATTATAATATGACAATTTATATTAAAACAACGTTGTTTTAAATTCTCAAAAAAATTAAATTTAAACTAAAACTGCATAACTTATCTAACATTTAATTCTTTAAAGATGTTTTGCGTCAGTAATTTTCAAGCCAAGAAATATAAATTTTAAAGAAATACTATGAAGTAGTAAAAACAATAAACATCTAATTTTTTTTATGCAATTAGAAGCCGTTAATTGTATTTAAGAAGCATGAAGCACACGATTTCGGTAGTGAAGAAATTATTATTTTTTGAGGTTTTTAGTTCGAGCACTAGAAATATTAGGGCACTAAATATATATGCGAAAAAAATAAGAAAAATATTAAAAATTCATCCGAAAAATCAAACTAAATATAGATTCGAATAGATTTGTCTGCATTGACAAATGAATTACAAAAAGAGATCAAACTATTAAAATAATATCGATAATCGCAAATCAGAGTTAAACATCGTGAAAAACTATCTTTGAACGTCAATAGTCCAAAGCAGAACAAATCAACAGGATAACAAATAAACGACATCTTGATCAGTCAAAGTTACGTCACATCCAATCCAACCCTGAAAATTTAAACGTAAAAACGAATAAATAACCTATAAAAAAATATAAAAAGTACCATAAAAGACGAATAAAAATATACTATAAAAATAGAAAAATGTATTATATAGATAAAATTATTAGAAACTAAAAAAATAATGAAAAAATACAATCTAGAAAATAAAAGAAATAAAAAAAATCTGGTGCCGCACGAACAATGATAGAAAAGAAGGAAAGGCGCAAAGAAAACTAGGGCAAAGAAATGCACTAGGCATCTAATTCTTTAAACATGGTAAAACATCTCAACACAACAATTTTAGTGGTTCTTTCCATTTAGAAGTAAAAAGAAATTGAAAAAAAATCTCTAAAAATACTTTATAGAAATAAAACTCGTATTAATCTATGAATTAATGTATACTATATAAAAATAATATTTTGATTTTTAATAATAAATATAATCTTAAATTAACTAGAATAAATTACATAAAACCTTATATTAAATTTAATTATAAATAATCAAGACGACAACATCATTGTATGTTTATAAATATCAAATTTTTTGCATCAGACTTGTATGCTTTTAATCTTGTTATGCTTGTATCGCTTTTGCTTTTTTATTTTTGTACTTAATATTCTTTTTGTTAATAGTATCTTAAAATATATAAAAGTTATTCATATTACTCAAAATTATATCAGAAGTTGAAAAAAATTAGCCACACGCTCTAGGAATATAATTGACTTTAATAAAAAATTGTAAATTATATGTCAAGTCTTTTATATTTTTTAATTTAATACATAAAATATTATTTTAATTTAAAATAAACTCACATTTATTTAAAAAAATTATAATTTAATAAAATATAATATTAAAATAAGCTCAACCTCACAGGAAACCATTAATTATAGTTGTCAAGAAATCCATTTCTGAAACAAGTAAAACTTAAACCGTCAGACTGATGCAATTGAACATATGAAATGAACATGTTTTATCCCTAATTATAGTTGTCAAGAAATACGAAATTCATTGCAAAAATGTTCCTTTGGCTTGTCTCTATCGAAACGATTTTCAAACAGAAAGGGGTCTCGTTTCAGGGAAGATCAAATATGGAAAAAGAGAGGTGTTGTTCCGTTGTTTTTTTTAGGGAAAATCAGATTTGGGGATGTTGATTCATTCTACTGTTCTTTAGGGAAGATTGAATCGAGGCAGACTTATTCCACTGTTACTCTGGGAAGATCAAATCTGGAAAGAGAGGGGGGATCTGTTTCGCTATTTCTTCAGGGAAGATCAAATATGCAGGCGTTGATACGTTCCATTGTTCTTCAGGGAAAATTGAATCAAGGAAGAGTTGTTCTACTACTATTCAAGGAAGATCAAATCTGGAAAGAGAGGGGACCTAATCCACTGTTTCTTCAGGGAAAATTAGATATGAGGACGTTGTTTAATTCCAGTGTTCTTTAGGGAAGATTGAATTGAGGCAGACTTGTTCTACTGCTACACAGGCAAGATCAAATCTGGAAAGAAAGAGGATATGTTATGTTGTTTCTTCAGGGGAAGATCATATATGTGGACATTGATTCATTCCACTATTCTTCAGGGAAGATTGAATTGACGCAACCTTGTTCCACTACTACTCAAGGAAGATCAAATCTGGAATGAGACCGGATCTGTTTTTCTATTTCTTTAGGGAAAATCAGTTCTTAGGACGTTGATTCATTCCACTATTTTTAGGGAATATTGAATCGAGGCAGACTTGTTCCACTACTACTCAGGGAAGATCAAATCTGGAAAGAGAGGGGATTTGTTCCCCTGTTTATTCAGGGAAAATCAGATCCGGGGATGTTGATTCATTCCACTGTTCTTCAGGGAAGATTGAATCGAGACAGACTTGTTCCACTACTACTCAGGGAAGATCAAATATAAAAAGTGGGGGGGATCTGTTCTGCTGCTTCTTCAAGGAAGATTAAATCTGGGGACATTGATTCATTCCATTGTTCTTCAGGGAAGATTGAATCGAAGCAGACTTGTTCCACTACTACTCAGGGAAGATCAACTCTGGAAAGAGAGGGGATCTGTTTCGCTGTTTCTTCAGGAAAACTCAGATCATGGGACATTGATTCATTCTACTGTTCTTCAGGGAATATTGAATCAAGGTAGATTTGTTCCACTACTACTCAGGGAAGATCAAATATGGAAAAAGAGGAGATTTGTTCCATTGTTTCTTTAGGGAAGATCAGATATTGGGACGTTGATTCATTTCATTGTTCTTTAGGGAATATTTAATCAAGACAGACTTGTTCTACTTCTACTCAGGGAAGATCAAATATGGAAAGAGACAGGATCTGTTCCATTGTTTCTTCAGGGAAAATCAAATATGGGGATGTTGATTCATTCCACTATTCTTCAGGGAAGATTGAATCTAGGCAAACTTGTTTCACTGCTACTCAGGGAAGATCAAATCTGGAAAGAGAAGAGATATGTTATGATGTTTCTTCAGGGAAAATCAGATCTGGGGACGTTGATTCATTCCGTTGTCCTTCAGGGAAGTTTGAATCGAGTTCGGCTTGTTTTTATTGTCTTCAAGAATCTAAAAATTAAACATTAACCCTTGTTAGTAAGTCTTTGAGAATTTGAAAACATCATACCTAAAAGTCTTAGGAGGATAATCTTTGGAAAATGTTTTCTCTTGTGGGAGCTTGTCTTGTATCAATCAGTCACGGGAATCTGAATTGGTTACTTTTATATTGGGTTTCTACATCTCCAACCTTTCCTTTTAAAAAACCTGTAAGTACTCAATTGCCTTTATCATCATCATGCATTTTATGAATGTCATGATCCTGTTTATGCCTAAAATGTGTGCAATGATACATTTTTAGGGTATTTTATGAGAACTCTTTCTTGTCATCTCTTTGTAATTCAGTCAAATCTTGGGCACGAAAAATCAACAGTAGTTCATCCCGACTGATAACTCTGGTCGGACACTCTTTGGTTGAACATGACTCACGACCAGGTACTTGATCAGCAACGAACCTTTTGGATTGTCCCACATTGTTGAGCTATTACGTGTAGCCCAAGGCTTTAACTTTATGTAGCCCATCATCATGCAAGACTCATGCTAAAGCCATGTTCAGCTTCCAAAATGCATGCATTTTTCCAAAACTTTTTGTATAATAATACACAATTATCTAACTTTTCCCAAGTTAATCTACATGTTTTTATTTTCAAATTAGAATGATTGCAACATGGTTTTAACAAGAAAATACCTCTTTTTATTTATATAAATAAAGAGTTTTTGGGTAAATACATGGTAAACTTTTAACTTGAATAATCAAAAGAAAATATAGTAGGCGTCCTCAGATATCAATAGTACGAATGCTTTTGAACTGGCATGCCGCAGAATGACTCAAGTGGAGCCTCTGTTAAAGGGATCTTGAGAATTGTGACAATGTGCAAGGTTGTGAAGTTCCCCTTGTACTACCAAATTTCCTGCCATAACCATTATTTGAATCTCATGCATTCTTCATTTATTTTCTAGTTATCCAAGCCTTTTCGATTTCCAGTCCTAACTCTGACCACCATTTGATGTCACTGTTCAAGTCTTCAAAAACTAACTAGAACCTTCACCATGCATGAAGTCTGAATTTGAATAATTCTCAAGCCGCCCTTTGTGGGTTTTCAACTTGAGACCTCATTTGGTTTCAAGATGCCCTTTATGAGGTTTTATCTTAAACCCCCTTTTATTTATTCTATTTTATTTTTCTTTCTTTTTTCTATTTTTTCATTTCATTTCTTTTTTTATTTTCATTTTCATTTTTTCCTTATTTTTTCATTTTTCTTTTTTTTTCTTCAGGCGAAGTATTTATTGACAGCGTTAGAATTCACAGGGTTAGGTAACTATGGTCCATCCATCTAGGTGAGGATCAAAGCTCCTCCGAAAAAGGCATTCTTCACAACATAAGGACATTCCCAATTTGGCATCCATTTACCTCTGAAGTCTTTTTGAATTGGCATAATCTTCTTAAGTACCAGTTCTCCTTCCTGA